AACCACAATGGATCTCAAAATTTATGTCTCTACATGAAACATACTTGAGTTTTGCTCCATTTTACAACCTTCCCTACCACTGTTGTTAAGTGAATCATTGCAGTTGTTAAGTGAATCTGGCTTCCCTGTGCAGAGGTGCAGAGACAAAGGATGACCTTGGCTTTCTAGAAAGAATGTTGTTATGGCTACATAGCATCTAACTCCGTACAATCCCCCCTCCCATTTTCCCAAAATAGAAAGTGCATAGTAGAATAATAGAAAGTGCTGCAGGCCAAAGATCCAAAAGAAAAGATAGGTGCAGGGCTGACAGTGAGGTCTTGAGTGTGGTGGATTGTAGTCTGGATTCCAGAAGGCAAAGAGGCAGTGAAGGGTAGAATCAGGTAGCCCTTGACTTCCAACCACAATGGATCTCAAAATTTATGTCTCTACATGAAACATACTTGAGTTTTGCTCCATTTTACAACCTTCCCTACCACTGTTGTTAAGTGAATCATTGCAGTTGTTAAGTGAATCTGGCTTCCCTGTGCAGAGGTGCAGAGACAAAGGATGACCTTGGCTTTCTAGAAAGAATTTTGTTATGGCTACATAGCATCTAGCTCTGTACAGTCCCCCCTCCCATTTTCTCACAATAGAAAGTGCATAGTAGAATAATAGAAAGTGTGGCAGGCCAAAGAAGCAAAAGGAAAGATGGCTGCAAGCCTGACAGAATGACTACCCCAACCTTCCACAGCTGGGACTTCAGGGTTGGGGAACAAAGCCCCTTTATGACTTGTGGGCATCAACTCCTAGAATTCCTGAGCCAGCCATGCTCTGGGAGTTGAATTCTGGGAGTTGAATTCCACAAGTCATAAAAGGGCCATGGTTCCCCACCCCTACCTTAGTTGATAGGAGACTAGAATTCTCTTAGTCTGATGCTTTAACCACTACCCCATCCTGTCTTTTGGGCTGAGACTGAAACCCCCAAACCCTTCCATGGTTGAGGGCAATCTAAAACACTGGGTTTCCCTAGCCCTGGTCCAGGACTTTCACCATGCTCTAAAATGGCTCTCTTGATATTCTGGAATAGTGGCTTATGCAAACTCACATTGCCTGTCTTAGCCAAGATCCTCAAAGAACCAAGACGTTCAAAACAAAGGAAAAATTTGAGCCCAGTGAAACATAATCAGGACCTTGGAGAGCTCACTTAGGAAGTTACAAGTGGATTTTTTAAATTTTTGGTCTCCCCTTTCATTCAAATCGTGTCCCATTCGTAGAAACTACTTGGACAAATCCCTGTAGTTTTCTGGGCAAGGTTTTTCAGAGATGGTTCACCTTTGCCTCTCAAAAAGTCAGGTTGTATTAAGAGAGGGTTAGAATCAAGATCGTGTGAAGTATTAATATCGTTTTATAAAGCCTCAGTAAGACCCCAGTTGGAATACTGCATCCAGTTCCAGTCAACATATTATAAAACAGACACTGCGGCTCTGAAAAGAGTGCAGAAAAGCAACAAAGATGATTAGGGGGCCGAAGGATAAAACATACGAAGAACGGTTGCAGGAATTGGGTATGTCTAGTTTAATGAAAAGAAGGACTCGGGCTGACATGATAGCAGTATTTCAGTATTTGAGTGGCTGCCACAAAGAAGGGGGGGTATCAAACTATTTTTCAAAGCACCACAAGGCAAGGCAAGAAACAATGGATTGCAAATTAATCTGGAACTAAGGAGAAATTTCTTAACAATGAGAACAATCAACCAACGGAACAGAAGTTGTGTGAGCTCCATCACTGGAGGCTTTCAAGGAGAGACTGGGCAGTCATATGTGTAGTATAGGGTCCTCTACTTGAGCAGAGGGTTGGGCTAGAAGATCTCCAAGGTACCTTCCAACTCTGTTATTCTATGTTCTACATTCCTTGGTAGCTGTCAGATACAAGAAACTAGGAGCCGGGACAGAGTTCAAAGCACTGCAACTGCATTCCATGCAACCTATTGACAAAAATGTGACTCTACTAAGGGTCAAGGCAAGACTGTGGTTATTTTGAGGAGTTGCAGCACCTCCGTAGTCACGTGATCAAAAATTTGGGCACTTGGCAACTGACTCGTATTTATGATGGCTGAAGTCAAGGGTCTCGTGATCACATTTTGCAACCTTCTGACAAGAAAGGTCAATGGGAAAACCAGATTCGCTTAACAACTGTGTTACTGATTTAACCCCTACTGTGATTCACTTAACAACTGTGGCAAGAAAGGTGGTAAAAGGGGGCAAAACTCACTTAACAAATGTCTCACTTAGCAACATAAAGTTTGGCCTCCATTTTGGTCATAGGTCAAGGACCACCTGAATTCACTTCAGATTATTGCTATGTGCATCTCTAACTGCGGTTTTATTTATATGTATAAAAGCCAAATACCACTCATCATCATGAAATCTCCAGAACCGTAAAGCCTACAAATGTGAAATTTGGCACAGATGTTCCTCTTGGCTTCTAGGTGCTCGCTTAATAAAGGATTTTTCAAAATGACCATCGGATCATCAGTATTTCTTATACAGTATTATATTAACATGTTGATGCTAAGGAGTTAGATGTTCTACTCCCCCTCCCCACCTGAAAAGAACTCTGTTCTAACTGCCAGTTGCCTCATATGGGTGTGGCCAGCATGTGACTCATCCGGCCTGTGGACCCAACCGATCACATGGCTTCTTGGTGAAGCACGAGTATCCAGCTATGTCTTATAAAATACAAAGCGTTTACAGTTCCGTTCACAACAGTCATCCCCACCTAATGAAGTTATTCCCTGTCATTTGTACTCGACTTAATTAGAACCCCAGCCAGAAATAATTGGGAGAAGCAAAAATAACGGATCAGGCTGCAATGAGAACTCCTAAACCCAACAAGCTAGCAAGACAAACTTTCATCATAAATCAGTGGCGATCAGGACAGAGGTTTAATTGGGCAAAAAGCAGTCTGGACTTAGCAAAAGATGAGATGTTTGCTAATGAGGGTCACCACAAACACTTGATAATGAGCAAACCAGCTCAAATCAAAACAAATCAAAACCGGAATGAAGGAGAATTGAAGTTGGAAAAGATTGATTTGCTTGGGAAACTGAGTTCAGGAGATAATCAGGAGAAGCTGAGGGTTTTTGTTTTCTTAAAGACACATCAAGAAAGAAGCTCATAAGAGGCTTTTAAATTCAATTCCACACATTAAACTAAGACTGGTTATCTTTGAATCGCACATTAGATGAACAAACTATCGGGACTTTTATACTGAAATAACCCATTTCATCTGCAGTCAGAACTCAAAAATCACCTATCACAAAGCCCTTTATTTGGATGAAACAGTTCAGGTGAGATCTATGTACGTCCAGGTGGTCCTCAATTTATGACCCCAACTGAGCCCCAAATTTCCATTCCTAGCCAAGACAATGGTTAAAGTGAATTTTGCTTCATTTTACGATCTTTCTTGCCACAGTTGTTAAGTGAATCACTGCAGTTGGGAAGTTAATAACAAGGTTAAGTGAATCTGGTTTCCCCATTCATTTGACCGGTCAGAAGGTTGCAAAAGGGGATTCCCCTCGCCCCAGGAAACTGCAACCGTCATAAATGTGAATCAGTTGCCAAGTGTCTGAATTTTCATCATGTGACCATGGGCGCGATGATCCTAAGTGTGAAAAACAGTCATAAGTCACTTTTCAGTTCTCTTGTAACTTCAAACCGCTTCTAAATGAACTGTTGTTAGTCGAGGACTGCCTGTGTAAGTCTCATCAAGGTAAACTGTAGAGATGACTCAAAAACATCATATTATATTCCTTATTTTATTCCTTTCAGTTAATCTGCCGCTTGTATTTCACTCTTACATATGGCTTGACTGTGTAATGTTTTTATGTTTTATTCTGTATTTTGATATGGCCCATGGTAGCGATGGCTAACCTTTTCAGCACTGCGTGCCAAAAGTGCATGCCTCTAATGCAATGCACACATGCCCCCTGCATGCGCCCCTGCCCCCCCATGCATGCGTGCACCCCATGTTCCCCCACCCTTCCATGCATGTGCATGCATCTCCCGCATGCGTCCTGCCCCCCCACGCATGCATGCCAGAAACCCAAAACCCAGCTGACCAGCAGGAGGTGCATGCACATGCCCGGTGGAACTGAGCTGGGGGGACAGCTCGCATGCCTGCAGAGCGGGCTCTGCATGCCACCTGTGGCATGCGTGCTATAGGTTCGCCATCACAGGCCTATGGGCTAACGCTAACCCACAACACTAAAGAAAGAGAACTCAATGGCTAAATGGAAATATATCATGGCCGCCATGATACAAAACCGTAAGTCCAAACTTCTTCCTGGCTAGGGTGTGGATGGCAATGCTCATCTTCACATCCACAGAGCTCCTTTTAAAAGCTTACCACAGAGCCATCTCTGCACATCATGTCAACAGAAGTCTGGAACTCCCCGATGAAATCATGTCCTCCATCATTGTCGTAGTCATAGCACACAATCTGTCAAAAGAAGCAGAGGAACAATCAGGGTTTTCATCCAGTTTACTGTAGTTGCCCCCAAAAATGACCCCTCTGAATTTAAAAATTTCATCCTTCTTATGAAAGAGAAGAAATTCACGAAGATGCTCATTTCTCGCAGAGGTAGGACAACTACTGTCAGGTTTCCAAAAAATGCCCTAATTCAGTGAACCCTTTTGGCATTGAGTGCCCAAACTGGAATGTGTGTGTGTGCATGTGCCAGAGCACCAAAAACCGTAGTCCAGCTGGTTGGCACACACATGCCTGTTTTTTAGCCATTTTTGGCCATTTTGGGGACTATTTTGGGGTCATTTTCAGGCCATTTTTGGCCCCAAAAATGGCCTGAAAACAGCTCGAAAAACGGCCTATAAAACAGCCTATTTCATGGCTATTTTTCAGGCCATTTTCTGGTGCCCGCAAAGACCAGCTGGTTGGCATCTGTATGGCTGTTTTTGGCTGTTTTTTAAGGGTATATTTTGGGCTGTTTTCAGGTTGTTTTTGGCCAGTGCTCCAGTGCCCACGAGGATCAGCTGGCCGGCATGCCAGAAACCCGAAGAGCAGTTGGCAATGGTTTGTATGCCCACAGAGAGAGCTCTGCATGCCACCTCTGGCACGCATGCCATAGCTTCGCCATCATGGCCCTAATTAATTCACAAGCCTCGAGCCAAGTTTCAAAAGAAATCCAGTCATTCATAAGGAACACCATTTCGGCAATACCTCATTGCAGTCAGATCTGGCCTCACTTAAGTTATGGCTGAACTTTGCCCCTGTTTCTCCCTTCCCAGCAGTCTGTGTCATAAATCACATTCTCCAAGGAGGTGCACGCTTCACAGGCCTGCTGTAGTAATCTGGTGTCCATGGAATGCGCTCCCCCCCTTTCCTCACCATAGCAACTCGATAACAGACATGCAAATGCTTTATGAGTTGACAACTACTATGTTTTCCTGAAAATAAGACCGGGTCTTATATTCATTTTTGCTCCAAAAGATGCATTAGGTCTTATTTTCCAATTAGGTCTTATTTTGGGGAAAATACGGTACTAAAGGCGTCCATCAGGCTGGCGATCTTAACTGGGTCTTATTTTGGAGGGAGGGTTTATATTACAAGCATCCTGAAAAATCATGCTAGGGCTTATTTTCCAGTTGGGACGTATTTTCAGGGAAACACGGTATTACCAGGTACCCAGAGGTGCTTTTTCAAGTCATCCGTGACTAGAGAATCTCCACAGACATATTGCCAGGTGCCTAATGAACAGTCAGGTGTTCTCTAGGACAAAGTGGATGGATTGATTTCAATGGACGTCTCCTGAAATAATCTTTTGTGTACAAACCTGTTGGAGCCCAAAACATTCTATGTATTATTATTATTTGTTCTATAAATCATAGTTTAAGATCCACTGACAGTCTTCATGTAAGATGCATTAAGATGCTCTCCCATGGCCTAGGGCAGTGATGGCCAACCTTTTTGGCACTGAGCACCCAAACTGGAATGTGCATGCATGCGCATGTGCCAGAGCACCGGACACCCGAAGACCAGCTAGCCGGTGCATGCATGCCTGGTTTTTTGCCGTTTTTTGCCGTTTTTCAGGGCATTTTTGGGCTGTTTCATTGGGCCGTTTTTTGGCGTTTTTCGGGCTGCTTCTTTGGGCCATTTTCAGGCCGTTTTTCGGGCCAAAAACAGCCTGAAAACAAGCTGTGTTTCGGGCCTCTTTTGGCCTGTTTTCCGGTGCCAGCAAAGACCAGCTGGAAACCAGAAGAGCAGCTGGCAATGGTGCACGTGCCCATAGAGAGGGCTCTGCATGCCCCCTCTGGCACGCGTGCCATAGGTTCGCCACCACGGGCCTAAACCAGGAGTCTCCGTCCTTGGTAACTTTCAGACTTGTGGATTTCAACCCCCAGAATTCCCCAGCCAGCATGAATGGAGACTAACAAAGCCTGGGAGAACACCAGGTTGGGGTAGGATATTCTAACAAGAATGTTATCTCTCAGCCACAGGGGAGATAATGGATCTGAAACGGGGGAAGATGAAGAGGACAGTACCTTGATCTGCTTTTCTGTGTCCCCATCACAGAGAGATATCAAAGGCACCGTGAATGGCTTCCATACAGGATCCAGCGTGTATTTAATTACCTGCAATGGGAAGAAAAAGACAGCAAGACAAGAAAAACTTCAGACGATATTTATTTATTATTTTTTACAAATAACTCAAGGCAGCAAACACATCCAATACAAATTCCTCCCCCTATTTTCCCCACAATAACCACTCTGTAGGTTCAGCTGAGAGGGGGGGGGTACTGGCCCAAAGACCCCCAGCTGGATTTCAGAACAAAGGCAGCACTTAAAGGCAGTCTCCTGGTGACTGGCCTGAAGTTACCCTGCTGGCTTTCATAGCTAAGGCAGGACTTGAACTCATAGTCTTCTACTTTCGAACTGGTGCCTTAACCACTGGCAAAACTGACTCTTAGTACTAGATCAGTATCAATGCTATAACAATATCTGGACCCAGGGTGGGAGCAGACACATTTTTTAAGCATTCCACTCTGTGATTGTACATAAATCAGAAGTAGGGAAGCATCCTCCTCGTTCAACCTCACCTTCTTGCAGACAAGGCTGCTTCCCAGAAAAATATGAACAGCATTTGATGGGCTGAGATGAAAAATTACAAGAATTCCAGCAACTGGAATTCCTTTCTTGAGAACCAACAATATCCTCCTGTCTTTGGGGTCTTTCTTTCTAACTTTCCTGTGCCATTTTACTGATAACGGGGAAATGAATGGGAAGTTGGAATAACCCCGAAAAACAGGGAAGCCAAGGAAACAGATAAAAGAAATCCGAGTCAGGGCAGAAAAGTAATTTGAGGAAGCATGTCAGTCTTAAACCCCCACCCCCCAGATTCTTGAGAAGATAAAAAAAGGGAAGAGGGGAAACACATTCAGACTTGCAAGATTCAGAATCACTAGTTGGAAGGGACCTTAGAGGTCTTCTAGTCCAACTCCCTGCTCAGGCAGGAAACCCTATACCAGGGGGGAAATCCAGCAGGTTCTGACAGGTTCTGGAGAATCGGTAGCAGAAATTTTGAGTAGTTCAGAGAACCAGCAAATACACCTCTGGCTGGCCCCAGAGTGAGGAGGGAATGGGGATTTTGCAATATCCTTCCTTGGAGTGGGGAAGGAATGTGGATTTTGCAATATCCTTCCCTTGGAGTGGGGAGGGAATGGGGATTTTGTGGTATCCTTTTCCTGCCATGCCCACCATGCTACACCCACAGAACCAGTAGTAAAAAAAAAACCTGAATTTCACCCCTGCCCTATACCATTTCAGACCATTGGTTGTCCAATCTCCAGTTCTGTTATTGCAACCTTCTAATAAAGTAGCATTGGCATTTATAATTCTGGCAACCTACTCTAGACTGAAGATCAAAAAGCTTGCAACTCTCAGCAGCCGTTATCTAAAGCAAAGTACGTAAAATTTTTGCAATGTCTCTTCACTAGGATCTCTGCCCCCATCAAGCTCAACACACAGCTCTGCCAAACAAAGTCCTTGGGGTAGTATCTGCCCATATCAAGCATTGTTCCTTCCCTCAATTTGCAAACTACACCTCTATGATGCAGCTTAAACCATTGCTAGCTTTTTTTTTAAACCACTCGTAATGCATTCCATCCAGTATTTTCTAGATTCCTGAAGGCAAGGCTGGGGGGAAGAATTTCCTCAAACAAATACCTTTTGCACAACAGTGCAGGCATCAAAAGAGAGATGTAAATTATTTCGGGTTACTCAGGAAACTTTATAACTAGATACTTTGCCTCAAATCCCAGCCCAAAAAAGGAACCTCTCTCTCTGCACCTTCTGCCTAATGTTGATCGCTTCAACATTGTTCAGTAGAGTCCAAAACATAGACGCACAACATCCCTAACGAGTTGCAACAGATACAAGAGACCCAAGTTTTATAATTCTCTCTTGGCAATTATCTTTAGAATTCCCTGATTAAGTTATTTTTTAAAAAAATTCAAATTTATTGTATAGACTAGAGCTGTGATGGCGAATCTATGGCTCGCATGCCAGAGGTGGCACACAGAGTCCTCTCTGAGGAGATGTGCGTGGTGGGCAGAGGTTTTTCTGGGTTCTGGGGGCACGCATGCATGCCAGCCAGCTGGTCTTCGTGCAAAGATCAGCTGGCCGGTGTGCATGCATGCAATGGAACCCAGAAGAGCAGGTGCCCTCCACGTGCATGTGCGCAGGCCAGCTGCTCTCTTCCGGGTTCTGGCACTCTGGCGCATGTTCCAGTTGTGGCACTCGGTGTCGAAAAGGTTAGCCATCACTGGACTAGAGCCACAGTGGCACAGTGGTTAGAATGCAGTGTGCAGGCTACTTCTGCTGACTGCCAGCAGTTCGGCAGTTCAAATCTCACCAGGCTCAAGGTTGACTCATCCTTCCGAGGTGGGTAAAATGAGGACCCAGATTGTTGGGGGCAAGAGGATGACTCTGTAAACCGCTTAGAGAGGGCTGTGAAGCACCGTAAAGCGGTATATACGTCTAAATGCTATTGCTATTGTTAATATCTTTTAGGAAGCACTACTGAAGGGGTGTCCAACCTTAAGACTTGTGGACTGGCTGGGAAATTCTAGGAGTTGACATACATAAGTCCTAAAATTGTCAAGGTTTTATACCCCAGTCCTACCAAAGACTTGTAAAATGTTCAAGTTCTCTAAAGTTCATAGAATCCTAGGCTTGGAAGGGACGTTGCCGATATTCTAGTCCAACCCCCGATGATGAGTGCAGAAATTGTCAGGGTCCTGGATAATTGGCTGCCTGGTCTTTTGTCAAAGACCTTCCGTGAGGTCAGGAGGCAAGTTCCTCCTCCACTGCTTAGGAGCCTCCACTCAGGAAATAATCAAGGATGATTAGGGGGCTGGAGGCTAAAGCATATAAAGAACATTTGCTGGAATTGGGTATGTCTAGTTTGATGAAATGAAGGTGACATGATAGCGGTGCTCCAATATCTCAGGGGCTGCCCTAAAGAAGAGGGAGTCAAGCTGGCTGGAGAATTCTGGGAATTGAAGTCCCCAAGTCTTAAAGTTGCCAGGTTTGGGGACCCCTGCCTGCTCTAAATGATGCAATCTGGCATCTCCTTCATTCATTACAACAACTGCACGAAAACAGCACTCCTTTCCTGCTGTCAACAGACATTCCAAAAGACAGTTTTTAAAAAAAGAAGACTCAAAGCAGATGACCCAATGCATAAAGATGCAAAGGAGCAACCTATTTTCCAAAACACCCAAAGGCCAGAAAAGGAACAACGGATGTAAACTGATCCAGGAGAGAGCCAACCTAGAACCAAGGAGAAATTTCCCGGCCATGAGAACAATCCTCATTCAGAATTTCCACTTGCTTGTAGCGGCTGCAAGAACGGAGTATGTCTACTCCAGGGGTGTCAAACTCGATTTCATTGAGGGGCGCAACGGGGTTGTATTTGATCTCGGGTAGGTGTGGCCAAGGTGGGCGTGGCCAGCCCGACGTCACTCCTGTCACTGGCAGAGGGTTGCGGGAGGCCGTAGCAGCCGAAAACGGAGCTGGGAACCCGTTTTTGCTGGCAGAAGCACCGCAGTCTGGTCCTTCACTGTTTCCAGAGCGGCCTGGCAGGCCAGATCTAAGTACCCTGCAGGTCGGATCCGCCCCCTGGGCCTTGAGTTTGGCACCCCTGATCTAGGAAAATTTTGAATTTTACCATTGTATTGGACTCTGTTGCATGTCCCCTAATATCTAGAAAACTTAATAGCAACAGCTGATCATAACTGGAATATTTTGAAGGGATCTCCTGTGTTATTGTGAGGCTCCCACAGTTGGCTTATCCTGTACAGGTAGTCCTCAACTAACAACTCTTTGTTTAGTGACCATTTGAAGCTGCAACAGCTCTGAAGAAAACGGGACTTGTAAATTTTTCACACTTACAACTGTTGCAGAATCTCTGTGGTCATGTGATCAAAATTCAAAAGCTTGGCAACTGGCATGTATTCACGAATGTTGCAGTATCCTGGGTCACGTGGTCATCTTTTGCGACTTTCTCACAAGCGAAGTCAATGGGGAATCCAGATTCACTTAACAACGGTGTTACTAATTTAACAACTGCAGTGAATCACTTGACAACGGTGGCAAGGCAGGTCATACAATGGGGCGAAACTCACTTAACAACTGTCTTGCTTAGCAATAAAAATTTGGGACCCGGTTATTGTCAGAGTTTGCATGCAGCAATCACATCCAGAAAGCACACACAGGTAACTGATTCAGCAGGCTTCTTTAACTTCTCTTTATATATAAAGTAACACAGGAAGTAAATATACAATACCAAAAGCAGGTTTTCCAACGTGGTAGTAAATACAAGCAAACAGAAGGAGAGGAGAGAACAGTTTCCATTTCAGAGCAGCAGACTAGTTTAGAGCTTAGCACAGACTCAGAGCTACACAGCTAAGCCACACCCAGGCTCCAAACTGTTTCTGCTCCTATTGGCTCACCTGATTACTAAGCCCTATTCTAGTTTATGAATAGACACTGACGGTTGTGGTCATAAGACAAGGACTCCTTTTAGTATTTGGCTGAAAAAAAAACCTGAAATGATACAAGGTGATCATCTTACAATATAATGTCCTCGGCCACTTGAAATGACCTACCTCTGTCCGGTGCACCAGCATCCATTTCCCGTCATCCCCTTGTTTATAAAACTCTAAAAATGGATCTGATTTCCCGAACAAATCCTGCAAGAGAGAAGAGAGTCAAATGATTTTGGTTCTTGGAAGCCGAAGTGACAGCCAACAGGTCTTGTAAAATAAGATCTTTTGGGACCACTCCCTGTGGGCTCCCCTGCACAGCTCAGTGTATATGGATCTATTGTGACGGCTGAGCACAAGTTTGTCTTTCCCCAATGCAATTAATGTTCTTTCCATGAAGCCAATCCCGCCTGCCTATTCACAAAAGAAAATCAATTTACGATCAGATAGAAATGCTCAAGATTGTTAATGAGAGAACAGCTCGAGTGGCAGTCGCTTTATTTGCTGCTGGAAGAATCACCCAACTCGGTATGTCCAAGGAAGAAATGAGACTGAATGTGGGTGAGGTGTGAATATCCTCCACACTTCAGAAAGGAACACACACACACACACACACACACACACACACGGAGGGAGGGAGGGAGAAAAAGAGAGGGCAGAGGGAGGGGGAGAGAGAAAATAAAAGACAGAAAGAAACAAAAAGAAAGAG